TATAAATATTAGTACAACCCTACGATGTGCCCTTGGAACGCATTAGCAGTAGCACTAAATTTTAATTAGAGTTCGGTATTCAGCAAATTAGTGAATTGATTTTGAACTTCTGTTTAATTTTTATCGATAGAGATCCTCAATTTATCGAATAAGTACAACGATAAAGCATTATCTACGGTAGATCATAGCATTTCAGCAGCTCGAAATAACCAATTAAACAAACAACGACATTATTTAAAAGCAATTAGAGTAGACAAACTCAACCCGAACAAAACCAATTCGTTTTTTATATTGTGCCACGTGCTCGGTTCTTAGATTCGATTTGATTCGATGCGATTCAAAACGTTTCGATCTGGTTCAATTTAGCTTGTAGACGTGTTTTCGTTAATTGCCAAAATAATTCATAAGATTTTGAATGTACCTGAAATTCCAATGATCCTAATGGAAGTCTACAAAAAATTAGGTTAAGATTCCAAATATTCCAAATATTTAGATAATTTTTCAGATATATAGAGTTATATCTTCAATATTTTCAAGAATACTTAGAAGCTATTTAAAAACATTTCAAATTAGTAGAGAGATTATTAAAAACTTCGGTTAGCCGAAGCAGACATCCCTTTCAAAACTACATTCCTACAGATCTGTATTCTATATGGCATATTTTATCTCGGATTTCTATAAGTTTTTGAGAGGCATGCCAGTGAGATTTTTCACAGCAATCATTCAGAATAAAAACAATCATATCTAAAAGCTAAACGATTTCGTGTCTTAATTTAAAAATATTAAATGATTTTACAAAAGGTTAATGAAAGTAAAGTAATAATAATAAAAATAATAATAATAAAAAATTGCACAAAAGTTTCGAAAAATGCAAACGTAGTTTTTATCGAAATCAGAAAACTGATTTTAGTCTAAGTATCATTTATTCATATATATAACTATATATATACCAAAACGACCGACTGAAATTATTGTTAAAAGTTTTATGAACTATACTTGCATATGTATAAACATATATATATACATATATATATATATATATATATGTATATATATATATATATATATATATATATACATTTATTGATATGATCAAGTAAATTAAAGAAATATATATACAACCGATTCAAATGAGAAAGCAAAAATGAAAATAAAAACGATATATTAAAGTTTCTATACCTTAATCAATCATAAGTTTGCGATTCCATATATACAAGCATACAATATATACATATATACATAATACGATAGTTGATCGAATCCATAAATGAACTAATTATATTGGGCCATTTATAATATTTTACGAATCGAACAATAGTTTTGACATAAGTGGTTAAGAATATGATCAAAATAAAATAAAATCGAAAAATATAAAACGAAATACAAAAAAAGTTGTTATTTACTTTTATAAAATAGCAAACGAGTGGTTGCCAGATAAACATCGTGATCGCTACAGCTCTATGCATATATCCTGATGCTCGTGAATGTCATAATGATATCCAAACCCAAGACTAGTTCCAAAATCAGTTCTAAAGTAAATAAAAATACTATTTAAAAAATTTAAACAAAAATAAGCTAATAATAATTACTATCCTAGCGATTACAATACTTATAAAAAAATATATTCAGGCATTTTAATGATGATATTTAAGACCCTTGTTCTACATAGGCGCTCATGCATATGTTATATATACAAGTGTACATATGCATGTGAACTCTGCTGTACTGTATTGCATTGCATTCGATTATATTGTACGGCATCATATTGTATTGCATTTTAATATGTTGTGTTGTATTTACTGTTGGATTGTATTTTAATATTTAAATATATATAGACAGAGTTAATTTCCAATAAAGAGTTTTTAAATGCAACCAATTTTGACGCTATTTTTTCCTACTTTAATTAGCTATTTGGGACAAACCAAGCTAAGAGAATATGTGTCTTAGTTGCGTTGAGGAGTCTATTCTTTAAGGTATCAAACTTTATTATTGATAAGAATCAGAACAATGTTCTGGCTTACAGTTTCAATGAGCCTTGAAGCTGCTTGTGTGGACGTTTTGGTAAACTTCTATATATATTTATATATATACATATATATCTCTTTCACCCTCTCTCTAGGGAGGAGTCATCTTTAAAATAGATTTATATATATGAGAAAGGTAGAGTAAATATTGACTGGTTCCAAGCATCTTGGATGTTTTTATTGGTATTTGGTATTTGGTAAAACTCTTGGTTTGGCATTTCATGTTGCTGTCATTATGCGAGGCCGCATTGTTTAGGGATCAAATGCCGAAGTGTTTGGTATTTATGAAACTGCCTGTCTTGCTCTGTCCTGACACGGCTGCTCCTAGTCCTTTCTCATCCTTGTGCTGTTCGAAGCCAACAATGAGGCAAAAGGAATTCGATTAGGGGTGGCAGCTGGGTGTTGCACGTACTACAAATCAATACAGAAAGTGCGCATTCTGTTCTCAATCTCCCTTTTGCTTCTGGCATATTTCGTTTAATTAAAAAAGTTCCGCAATGCTTCTGAACAATTGATTCCTAAATTGACATCGTTGACATTTTAATGCGTTTAGTTCCGCTTGTCACTTGATGCGAGTTTTATCCGTGGTACCCGTTAACATACGTGTTGGCGGGACTTATTAGCAGCCAGTCGCAATTCTCGGTTTGCGCTCTTATATACTACATACCTCATAGCTAATTTTTTTTTGTATCGAGAAATTTGAAAGACTTAAAATATAGAAAGTCAAACGGTTTTAATACACGATGTCACAAAATAACATATGTGACTAAATCAGTGCAAATTTTCCGTAATTTGCAGGTAACAGGGAAAACTTAACTACTGAGTATCACTCACAACTTTATCTTCGTTCGAACACATTGAAAATGAGAATTCATGATGCAATGGCTTTGGCAAAATGTATGTAACAGGCATATATTCTTGATGAGCTTCACTATCTGATGTGATCTTGTAAACTATAAAGCAAAAACCTTGATATTTTAAATTTATTCCTGCATACTATATGCATATATACGGGATATTAGTCTATCATTATTTTTCGAGAACTCATATCCTTATATTGATAATAATTTCACTATGATTTTGTTTTCTAAATTATGTAATGAATATACATATTATTAAGAATTTCGGATTATGGTTTATTATTATCATATACGCATAAAAGAAACGTAGAAAGATTTGAATAGTAGAGTGAAATCTCGCAGTCGGGCACTCCCAACGGGCGCCCTCTTACCTGTTTCTTTTTCTGGCAAACGTTGCTTATAAATAATGCATCAAATAGCTTTTAATTATACAAACGTACCAAGTATATGCGAAACCCCTCGCCATGCGACTAATAAATGGACAGACACTTTGCCTTCAGCCAAGTGTAAAAAGTCGTGTTTATTACCCAAAAACAAACCCTGTGTTGCTATATGTGTGCTGACGTATTCTGCCTAAAGTTCCACTTTAATGTAATACGAAGCAGCAAGGGAATGCCCCTAATGAAATGCATTGTCAAATGAAATGGTAAAATTGACGACGTCCACTCTTTCCTGAAGTGCCCGACCGCATTAAATCAGCAAACTAACCGCCACTAAATAAACACTCACACAAGCACACACACACACACACATTCACAAACACATACACACGTAAGTAGCAAATGCTGGCTGCTGCCTTGACCAGGATCTAAAGTTAAAAGCACTTGTAACAAATTGAAATCATTCATCTTACTTTTCGCATTCATTTGCACTCACAGCTATACACGCACATACACACACACAAACACACACCCACACAACAATGCGTACACTTGCCAAACCCCGCCGTCCACGTTAATGTGGGGGTATTTGAAATTCGCATGGTCAGCCAATAGCATTAAGTAGTTGGGTTTTGGGGTTTTCTTTGCTCAGGTAAAACCCGCCTTTGCTGCCTTTGCTGCCTTTGCTGTTTATTTATAGTACAAACGTGGAAAGCCCAAAAGATTCTAACTGTATATAAGCTTATCTCTGTTGTTGGAAGCTTTGCTTAAGTGTTACTTATGCTGTATACATTTCCACAGCACGACTACGTGTCCAGTGATCTGACAGGATGTAAATATAAGTCTCTAAACTGTATTCTATTAACATTTCCATTTCAGGGTCTCACAGTTAATCGACTGACTGGCTATTATATAGAGTTTCGTAATGACTCGTAATGACTTGACGTAATGCTATTTCATATGATTGTTTTCTGCTTTGTTCTTTTCCCATTTTCAATATATAATCAAAATAAATTATAAATTGCTATTTCCACTGTCGAATGCTTCAATTTTTTATTTTACTTTTATTTTTAAAAATACGAGACTTAGTGAAGTGGACGTTGACCTGGCAGAGCTGTTTATATTCTGGTTTGTATACTCCAAATAAATGAATGAATTCATATGATAAAGTACGCGCACTCGAGCAAAACGCTTTTAATTATCATATATTAATATTTGAAGAGAATCGAAAATATATTTGTGTTTGTGTAAATGTTTGTATAGAAAATAAAGAAGGAAAGAATGAAAAAAAAATGTTTAGAAGTGAACTTCAGTTTTTCGCTCAATCGACTTGTCTGCTGCAGCAGCCGCAAGCACTTTCGAGTGGATGTGGCTATTAAAACCGGCCAAGAACTGTCAGATTCAAGTAGAAGGGAAATCAACTCGCCATTCAACTAAAAATTGCATTGATGCGGCAGTAGATGGGCAAAAGCAAATGAGAAACAGAAGAGGAAGATTCACACATAGATAGCGGAGACTTGGCTAGCGTCTTATACTCATTGACTTATGAACTATTTACTTATACAAATGATCACTCTGACACTCTCTCCCTCTCTGTACATCTCTTTTTCTGCTTCGCACTCTCTTTCCCTCGCCATTGCTCTCTCTCGGTCGCTGCGTCTCTCTGATGCTCAACTGCCAGCTTGTAAGTAGAATCAGGTTGATCTTTAGAAGGCGCGTTCAGTGCGATTGAGCAGGCAGCGGGAAGAACACGTCGCAGCACTATATTTTAGTTGTAATTATTGTATCAAAATTTAAATTGAAATTCTTACAATATTAAAATGAAGATCCTGCTGGCTTTAATGCTGCTCCAGAGGTTATTTCACAGCTACGCACAAGGTGAGCAGAGGCGACGGACGCAAACTCAGTCATTGAATTCAATCCGAGAATTGAGTCAGAGAACGGTTTTAAGACAAAGCACAACAATAACAACAACAACAACAAGGATGACAACAAAAATAAAAACAATAATAACTCAACTGGTTATCAGCTGTGAACTCGACCCAGCGAAATCTTTGAAGCGACTTTTATAATTTGAAACAAATGACATTATCTGTTTTTGTTCCATTTTGTATTTTATTCAAATTTGGTTATTATGATTATAATATTACTGTGCTTCCACAGAGACCTTCGGATATTGTACAACTCCCACTGATCAAAGTGGAACCTGCATTAATCTCAGGGATTGCACATATCTGTTCGAATTGGTGCAAAAGAAAACGTTGTCGTCATCCGACCGCAGCCTCCTTCAAAATAGCCAATGCGGCTATCGCAATGGCCAGGTGCTGGTGAGTATGAATAAACACAGATATGCAAAGAGGTGGGACATCAATGAAAATTTATAAACAGTGAAAGCTCGCTAAGGTGAGTTAGAGAATCTGCTTTGACTATAGTGAAAGCTTGCTAAAGCGATATAAACATGAATGTAAAGATGATAGAAATAAAAAAATAAATGTATTTTAATTTATTTAGTTAGGTCTTCCATTTATTAAGACTTCATAATCTTCAGTCGTTATATTATGATTAAAAAAGTCCTTAAGAACATAGAAGCAGGCTTTATTTGTAATAGCCAGAAGTTTATTAGCAGTTTCTACTATACATTATAGACTAATAGACAGATTAATGTAATATCGCTTGTAGATTTGCTGTGCCAACAGTCGCCGACTAAGCCAGCAACCCATATGGGGTCAAACCCAGCCACAACCCAAACCCCAACCACAGCCCCAGCCCCAGCCCAGACCGCAACCGACCATGCCTACTAGACGCTCCGGGCTGCTGCCCCAGGTACCCAACTGCGGCGACAACTTTTCCGATCGGGTGGTGGGGGGTGTGAATACTAATATAAATGAATATACCTGGTTGGCTCTCATTGAGTATACGAAATGTAAGTGGATCGTCTTCCAAAGGCAGACTTATTAATGAGTTTGCTTTCGCAGCCAATAACGATATTGGACACCATTGTGGGGGCTCGCTGATCAACAACCGTTATGTGCTAACGGCGGCACATTGCGTATCCGCCATACCCAGCGATTGGCGGCTGACGGGCGTCCGCCTGGGCGATTGGGACACTACATCCAATCCAGACTGTATCACTGGGCGAAATGGCAAAAGGGATTGCAATGACCCGTATGTGGATGTGGCTGTATCAGAGAAGATACCGCATCCTCAGTACCCAGGAAATTCGCGCGATCAATTGAATGACATTGCGTTGCTGCGTTTAAGTCGGGAAGTTGCCTTTACGAACTTCATTTCACCTGTTTGTCTGCCGATACTGCCGGAGCAACGGAATACCGTATTCCTGGGACGTAAAATGTTTGTTGCAGGCTGGGGCCGCACCGAAACGAATAGTACATCGAATATTAAACTTAAAGCTGAACTGCAACCTGTGCCTACAGAAGACTGCAATCGCCGCTATCAGACCCAGCGACGCACTCTGACATCGAGCCAAATGTGCGCTGGTGGAGTGGAGGGCATTGATTCCTGCCGAGGTGACTCCGGTGGACCATTGGGTAACAGATAACAATATCAATATCAATATGATCTGTCAATATTTTCCTTTTTAGTCATGGAGGAGTCCGTCAATGGTTACAGCAATTTTTATCTAACTGGCGTTGTCTCCTACGGACCCACACCTTGCGGCCTTGCCGGCTGGCCTGGCGTATACACACTTGTATCCGCATACATTGATTGGATTGAGGCCACGATAAGAGCATAAAATTACATAGCAATAGACAATTCATGCGTTCATATATTAGATGTTCAAAAATTGTGGATTATTAAACTATTCGTATACATCAACACTTTGACATTAATATATAAATTAAAAACAAAAACAGACTCAGCTAATATTTTTTTAGAAATTATATTAACGAACAAATTACAGGCTAGTAAAGTATAAGTTTTGTTTCAATATCATTCATTTCAATCCAATTAACATTCGCGGTCATTATATGGACTTATCGATTTATGATTGTCATCTCTAATGCGCACTAAAACTCTCCTTATTTTGGCCCTGTAAGCTTACGTCTTATACGGACACTTAAAAAAATATTTGCGTTAAAAACTTCAGGGATTTTCCTGAACTCCCCACCACTGTGGACTTTCTAAATGTGCAAAAACTAACTTAAGCAATTACCCAATTATCATCGATATTAGCAGCAGCTATTTAGCAGTCTCATTTTTACATTGATATAAGATGAATGTAAAGCTTGCATTAAATAGCCTTATCGATTATATATCGATATTTCTAAGAATAATAGTATAGAGTTACTTAGCCGTGTTAAACAAATCAAATTATGATAAACATATGTAAAACACAATTGAATCTGCTGAAAAGTGCAAATAGTGTGCAGCAACAAGTTCGGGTAAGATGTATGATCTTATATTGATGGTACATATCGAATAACAGTATATCCCAACAATTTTTGTAGACCACGTTCGTCTTAAAGCGCAAATATGAGCCCCTGTTACACAAGACAAATGAAAAACCTCGTCGTCTACGTGCTAAGCACTTCATCTATGAACTTGTGGAAGATACACAAGTTAAAAAGCGTCCCAACATGGAAGTGGTGCTGAAGACATTCGTCGAGGGCGTTGGCGACAAGGGTGATGTGGTATCAATGAAACCACATTTTGTGTACAACAAGTTGCTGCTTCCCGGTTTGGCGACCTACAAAACACCTGAAAACATTGTCAAATATTCGAAGACGGAGGCAGAGAAGTCCACCGTGCAGCACAGCTCGGCATATGCACAACGCACTGTTACTATGCTGGAGTCCATTGTGCTAGCGGTGATAATGAACAAGGATGAGCCCTGGGTGCTAGAGCCGTGGCACATTAAAGCTTCCCTACGCAAGGCGGGCTTTCACTGCAAAGAGGAATGCATAACGTTGCCTAAAGAGAGCATTGAGGGGCCTGATCTACTGAAGGAGAATAAAGAATTCAATTGCACCATAACGATTAACAAATTGGAACAAGCGACACTCAAATGTCGCATCCATCACTGGAGCACCGACCCCAGCGAGCGCTTGCCCTACGTCCTCGAACACTGGAAACTGCCGGCAGAGCCGCTGCTCGATCGGAGCCAAATGGAAGTGTCAACAACCGATGGCCAACAACCAATTATTTAATTAAAATATATTATATAAAAGTCTTCGCTTATTCTAAAAATCTGCTTTATTTAAAATCAACGTTTAACCGTTCGCAAAGTGGATTTTATAAAGTTATAAGAGTAAAATAATATGAGCACATTTCTTGTGATATATTTCCAAATGGAGTATGCATTCATATTTGATAATCCATCATAATGTCTAATCCTATATTTAGGTGTCTAATTTCCTCGTGAAGCTCGCTTAGTGCACAGCCTTTAGCTCCACATCGAAGACGAGCGTAGAGTCTGGCGGAATGGTGGGCGGTTGGCCCCGTGCGCCATATGCCATATGCGGGGGGCAGATGATGCGACGTTTGCCGCCTACCTTCATTCCACAAACTCCCACATCCCAACCTTTAATCACCTCTCCAGCGCCCAAAGCGAACTTAAATCCATTGCCCTTCTTCATGCTGTCAAATATCTTGTTGTCGTTTCTAAGGCGTCCAATGTAATAAACGGACACGCGTTTGCCCTGCTTAGCTTCGGGTCCGTTGCCCACCTGTAGCTCCTGGATTCTAACGCCTCCCGCGATGGTGCGCTCACCACCAGGTGCAGTAGCAGCGGTAGTTTGCTTCGCCTCCTTTCCTTTGGCCGGCTCTTTTTTCGCCTCAGATGCTTTGATTTGCTTCTTTGGCTTTTGTTTCTGTTGCTGCTTCTCCTTTTTGGCCACACCATTCTGTTCCTTAGCTGGCGTCTTACCTTCATTTAGTTTGGCTTTTTTGGCCTTGGGTGCTGCATTCTTTTCTTCCTCATCCTCTTCGTCAGAGTCGTCCTCATCTTCGTTATCCTCTTCATCATCCTCATCGTAAGATTCATCCTTAAGCAATGAAGAATACTCAGCAGCTAGCTTGTTGTCACCTACATCAATTTCATCGTCTTCGTCATCTTCCTCTTCTCTGTCATCTTCATCAGATTGTGTGTCGTTGGCGCCCTCTTTGGCCTTTTGACCCTTTTTCAAAGCGTTCACAACTTTCTCATACTCCTCTTCGTCTTCGAATTCATCGTCAGATTCTTCAGCGTCATGCAAGTAGCCAATCAATGAAACCACAGCATTTCCTGAAGTGTCATAAAATCAATACATATGTATATATATTATATAAATTATATGTATATTCATAGATATATATGAAGTCTCACCAGTTGTTTGAAACATAATCTTGTCGCCCTTGCAGAAATTCAAATCTAGTGTCATTTGGGGAAAATTTTTGTTTAAAGTTGCAACAATGAACTTGGTTTTGTCTGCAGTAATGTAAAGTTTGGCGGAGTCGCCCTCGTCAAGTGCTACGCCCGAAATATGGAACGATTTCACAATGGTTTGTGTGTACTTCCGGTTAGGCTTCATGCTTAATCCTGCAGATGTAATTACAACAAACGCAAAGATATATTAGGAAAAGTAGTAAGGCGCTAAAAAAAATGGCCACGCTGCGATGGCCGCAAGCACGTGGTAAAAGCAAATACACAGGCTGTCCGAACTTACGCTTGCACACAAGCATAGCCACATTAACACATGAAAATATTAAACTACTAAATAAGCAATTAAAACTTACCCCAAAACATCGACATGTTGCAGATTATATTTTATTTAGCACAGATGGAAATAAAGAAAACGTGAACGACAGCAGTAACTGTTCTTAAACAAGCGACCGACGCCGGCAAATTGCAAGTGCTGGAAAAGATGTAATGATATTCCGGCGCCAGCGATTACATTTCGATATAAAAACGCGACCTTAGCACACAATGCGGAATATGCAACACTGCATGCATGCGTCTCGCTGTGATTGACACAAAGATACGGTGTTTGTGTATTTGTGACGAAAAAATCGCTTACCAGGGAAACGGAGCGACATAGCCCCGCCTTAAGAGTGATTTTATCTGTACATTTCCGTTTTTAACATAAAAGTGATGACAATTATAATAACATGACCGAAAAGATAACACTAGCTGATGCCCTGTCCAATGTAGAGGTGCTGGACGAAATACCCCTGCCTGATGAGCAGCCCTGTATTGAGGCCCAGCCCTGCTCCATTATTTACAAAGCAAATTTTGATACTAATTTCGAGGATCGCAATGGATTCGTCACGGGTATTGCTAAGTACATCGAAGAGGCGACTACTCACGCGAACTTGGTAAGTTATTAAAAACCATTCGAAAAACTATTTTTGAAACTACTAAATTAATGCATTTTACCTTCCTTCAAGAATGTTTTACTGGACGAGGGTCAAAAACATGCTGTTATGTTATATACCTGGCGATGCTGCTCCCGGGCCATACCGCAGCCAAAATCAAACGAACAGCCAAATCGTGTGGAAATCTATGAGAAAACCGTAGAAGTACTTGCCCCCGAAGTGAATAAATTGCTCAACTTTATGTACTTCCAACGCAAGGCTATCGAAGCATTTTCTGGGGAAATAAAACGTCTGTGTCATGCTGAGAAACGAAAAGATTTCGTATCGGAGGCATATCTCCTTACTCTCGGAAAATTCATTAACATGTTTGCCGTGCTGGACGAATTGAAGAACATGAAGTCAAGCGTCAAGAACGACTATTCGACATATCGGCGCGCTGCTCAGTTCCTTAAAGTGATGTCCGATTCGCATACGCTTCAAGAATCACAAAATCTATCCATGTTCTTGGCCACTCAAAACAAAATACGTGACACGGTTAAGGATACGCTGGAGAAGATCGTTGGCTATGAGGATCTGCTATCTGATGTCGTCAACATCTGCGTGCATATGTTTGAAACTAAAATGTATTTGACGCCCGAGGAGAAACATATGCTGGTGAAGGTCATGGGCTTTGGTTTATTTCTCATGGACAGCGATGCGTGCAATATTAACAAGCTAGATCAGAAAAAGAAAATACGTCTGGATCGCATTGATCGCATTTTCAAGAATCTGGAGGTGGTGCCACTCTTTGGCGATATGCAAATTGCTCCATTTAACTATATAAAGCGCAGCAAGCACTTCGATTCTAGCAAGTGGCCTCTGTCCAGCTCTAATGCCATCAGCCCGCAGGCAGATCTGATGGTGCATTTGCCCCAGATACGCGAGGACCATGTGAAATATATATCCGAGCTGGCACGCTACACCAATGAGGTGACCACCACGGTCAAAGAAAATCCAACTGATGCTGAGAATCGCATTACGGCAGATTTGGCATTGCGCGGTCTTCAGCTGCTATCCGAATGGACCAGCGTCGTCACCGAGCTGTACTCGTGGAAGCTACTGCATCCCACTGATCATCATCAGAACAAGGATTGTCCCGTGGAAGCGGAAGAATATGAGCGCGCCACACGCTACAATTACACATCCGAAGAGAAATTTGCACTGATCGAAGTGATTGCTATGATCAAAGGACTACAGGTTCTAATGGCACGCATTGAGACGGTACTCTGTGAGGCAATCAGACGCAATATCTACTCCGAGCTGCAGGACTTTGTGCAGCTAACGCTTCGCGAACCACTGCGCAAGGCGGTCAAAAACAAAAAGGATTTGATTCGGAGTATTATAATGTCGGTACGCGAAACCTCCGCCGATTGGCAGAAGGGCTATGAGCCCACGGACGATCCAGTGTCCAAGGGCAAGAAGGATCCCGATGGTGGCTTTCGTATACATGTACCCCGCCTGAATGTGGGACCCTCTTCTACGCAGCTGTACATGGTGCGCACCATGCTGGAGTCCCTGATTGCTGACAAGAGTGGCGGAAAGCGTACTCTACGCAAAGACATCGATGGCAACTGCTTAATGCAAATTGATACTTTTCACAAAACTTCATTTTATTGGAGCTATTTGCTAAATCTAAGCGATACGCTGCAAAAGTGCTGCGATCTATCCCAGCTGTGGTATCGCGAATTCTACTTAGAAATGACCATGGGCCGCAAAGTGAACAAGTGCATGGTGCGGCATCAGCATAACGAGGAATGCAAGGATTTAATTACGATGGAGAAACGTATACAGTTTCCCATAGAAATGTCTATGCCATGGATATTAACCGATCACATACTTCAAACCAAGGAACCGTCTATGATGGAGTACGTTTCGGACGTTTGGACTATATATATAGTATATATATATATAGTATATATAGTATTATTATAATTGTGTATGTTTTAGGTTTGTGCTGTATCCCTTGGACTTGTATAACGATTCAGCACATTATGCTCTTACCGTCTTCCGCAAGCAATTCCTCTATGACGAGGTGGAAGCCGAAGTCAATTTGTGCTTTGATCAGTTTGTATATAAGTTAAGTGAACAAATATTTGCACACTACAAGCAACTGGCTGGCAGGTGAGTTTAATATATATTAAGATGACTTGCAATCCTCATGCATTTGGCTCTTGCACTACCTATTAAACAGCTGAAAGCTTTTAATATTATACATAAAATAAGTTAATCTATTTCAGTCAGCGCTTTCAAAGTTTACTTATTGATGATTTCTTTAAATAAGTTAGAGACCTTTTTGCATATATATATATATACTCATATATATATTTAATTTTACCCCAATTGTATTTTTTCCCAGCATTTTCTTAGATAAACGTTTTCGGCTGGAGTGCGAGGTTCTTGGCTTCAATTTCCAATCATATCCACGCAATAACCGCTACGAAACGCTCCTAAAACAGCGGCATGTGCAGCTTTTAGGTAAATAACATGCAAATAACAATGCAAATAAAGCAAATACTAAAACACCTATTGTTGATTATCAGGTCGTTCGATTGATTTAAATAAATTAATAACACAACGCATCAATGCAAATATGCACAAGAGTATCGAGTTAGCCATCAGTCGCTTTGAGGGTAATGACATAACTGGGATTGTGGTAAGCAAAATCTGAAAAATGAATCACACGAAAAGCAAAGATAAATTCAACTTGTACTTTTCCATGCCATTAATCCAGGAACTAGAGGGGCTTTTGGAAACCAATCGCATTTGTCACAAAATGCTGACCAAATATTTGGCCTTAGACAACTTTGAGGGCATGGTCAAGGAAGCAAATCATAATGTCCTGGCTCCGTATGGTCGCATCACTTTGCATGTTTTTGTGGAATTGAATTATGACTTTCTGGTTAATTACTGCTACAATGCAGCTACAAATCGGTAAGTTCTGTTGAACGTATTGTTTCAGAGTTGAATAAAAATTCTTTTATTTCGTTTATAGATTCATTCGTACCAAGGTCAATTTGTCGTCCTCGCAGGCCATACAGCGTGAGAAGCCGCCGCAGATGTCTCATTATTATCTATGGGGCTCGAAGCAACTCAATGCTGCATATACCACACAGTACGGCCAATATACGGGTTTTGTGGGCGCACCACATTTCCATGCTATGTGTCGTCTGTTGGGCTACCAGGGTATCGCTGTAGTTATGGATATTATACTAAAGGACATTGTTAAGCCACTGATTCAAGGCTCATTGCTACAGTTCACCAAAACCCTGATGATTGCCATGCCCAAATCTTGCAAATTGCCACGTTGCGAATACGGCTCGCCCGGTGTGCTCAGCTACTATCAGGCACATCTCACTGACATAGTGCAATATCCGGATACCAAAACGGAGTTATTTCAATCGTTTAGAGAGTTTGGAAACTGCATCATATTTTGTCTTCTGATTGAGCAAGCTCTGTCGCAGGAGGAGGTGTGCGATCTGCTCCATGCAGCACTCTTCCAAAACATCTTTCCGCGTCCCTTTTGCAAAGGTGAGTTTTGATCTGTGATTTTGACATGATTTTTAAATTTATCACGGTGAACATGTATGCTTTTTTAGAGAACGAAAAGCCAGAGGCTAAGCAAAAACGTCTTGAGGCACAGTTTGCCAATTTGCAAATTGTTTCCAATGTGGAGAAAATTGGCACTGCCAAGGTAACTATCTGGCGGATAGATAGATGCTTGTGATAGATAGATAGAATGCTTGTGATCGACTGATTGTTTTTCTTATTTATAATCAACAGCAGGCAATGATAGCACGTGAGGGAGATCTGTTGACACGCGAGCGCCTTTGCTGCGGCCTGAGCATATTTGAGGTCATTTTAAATCGGGTGAAAAGTTATTTGGATGACCCCGTCTGGTGTGGTCCACCGCCTGCCAATGGCATCATTCATGTAGACGAATGCTCCGAGTTTCATCGTCTCTGGTCCGCACTGCAGTTTGTCTATTGTATCCCAGTGCGCGGCACCGAGTACACCATTGAGGAACTGTTTGGAGAGGGCTTAAACTGGGCTGGCTGCGTCATGATTGTACTGCTTGGCCAGCAGCGGCGGTTTGAAGCGCTCGATTTTTGCTATCACATATTGCGCGTGCAACGTGTCGATGGCAAGGACGAAGATGTCAAGGGCATTGTAAGTCGGAATTAAACTCGTAAACGGAATTCCATTTAAAATGATTCTTTCCAATGCAGCAATTGAAGCGCATGGTGGATCGCATAAGACGCTTTCAAGTATTAAACTCACAAATCTTCTCAATACTTAACAAATATCTGAAGGGAGGTGATGGCGAAGGATCAAATGTGGAGCATGTGCGTTGTTTTCCGCCGCCACAGCATCCATCGGTCATATCGTCATCGTCACACTATCAGGATCCACAAAAGCTGCGGCAGAGCATGAACAATTAGCCAAGATGCAGTACATAAGATAATCATAGACACCTAACATTAATATATTTAAACAAAGTAACACAACTAGCTACTCACACCCAATATATGCTGGCAATCTAGACAGTGTATATGCCTGTTAGAGATATAAATTCGATTTTATTACTTTTGCTTATAATTATTATTATCATTTTTGTTTTCTTGGTATATCTTTCATAATGTATATTTAATATAAGCAATTATATGCTTTTATATATTTATAAGTATAACAATATTTCCAGGCTACTCTTTTCTAAAAATTCTAAAATCTGAGTTAATATATTAAAACAAAAATCATTAATTAATTGCGCGAAAGTAAAATTATCCAAAGAATCTACAATCGACAATGAATTAAATTGGCTTTAAAGTTAAAAAAAAAAAGTTTGAAAAATGAAAATTTGAAGAGTATTAAATAAAAGTAAATCAGACAATTAGCCAGCGCGCATATAAATAAAAATATATTTACCTATATACACCTACAAACTTAATACAATGAACTTTATCGAATAAAATTTTCATACGTATTTCGAATAAACTTTATAAATAAAAAGTTTTTTCTGAACTAGCAAATAGAGAAAAACACTAACTTTTTTTATAATAAATAGTAGCAGGTGGAACACAAAAAACCATTAAAATTAGAAGTCATATTGTTGAATATATTAGAAATTGGAAGACTTCATCTATTGTCTTTTATCTAAATTCTTGCAATAATACAGCTTTCTGATATCAGAATTTCTTTACAGAGTTACGAACATATAGTAACCAAATTTAACTTGTTCTGTTCAAGTTCAAACTTTTTTAATAATGAAACAAAAATTTAGCTTGAAACAACCACAAAAATATTTATTATTGTTTATTTCTAATATATTTGTAATACATAAATTCAATTTGGAATAGTTTAGCTAACAAATAGTTCGGTTTTTTGTTTTCTGACAATTCTCGGAATGACTCAGTAATACAGTTTTTTTACTTTATTCAGTTAATTGCCAGAGGCGTTAGTTGCGACCCCATTTTTAAGCGGACTTCTCTTGGGATGGACGTGTAGCACGGTAAAGTTGTCCGCATAGTTCCGTGGCAACTCAAATTTAGCGCTGTCGGCGCCCAGATAACAGGCGCCATAGGCGCAGCTTTTGGTGATCCGCACCAGCTTGAGATTGTAATCGATCCTCATTTTCGAGATCTCTTTGATGAAAGCCTCCTGCAGCAGGTTCCAGCTACTCCATACCGACCCGACACAGACAATATTTAGATCGCCAGACTTAACCAGATCCTCGTGGACCTTGGGCAGCAGCGCCTTGATCATGCACGCCAGATGGATAGCAGCCTCGTGGAACAGCGACAAAGCCAGCTTGTCGCCGTTTTCGGCATTCCTCGCCAGCTTCTCGCACAGATTGGCAAAGAAGGGCTTATCGAATTTGGCATAACAATAGGGCAGCATATCGTAGCGTGTCTCAATGCTGAAGTGTTCCCGAATAAGCGACCAGGTCTCCTCAATGGGATAAGGCGACTTGACCAGGTTGTCAATATCATCAAACACTACCTTAGTTGCACGATAGGATATAAACCAGGCTGGAGAACAAAAATAGCCAATTACTCATCTCCGATTATATTGCGATTGAATGTTATCAGCGAGTATTAATTACTACTTTGCTATTGCATTGGATTAGTGAGGCCGATAATGATTTAGATTTTATTGGTGTCATGTGCACTCACCGCTGCCCTCGTCCCCCAGAAAATGGCCCCAGCCACCACAGTTGGCTGTGCTGCCATCCGGGTTACGCAACAGGCAATTGGAGCCGGTGCCCGAGATGAGGACGATCCCACCAATGGAGGATGCCGTGAACATACTGCCCATTGTGTCGCTTGTGACGGCATAGCTCACGGCCAGATTGGGAAATGTTCGTCGCAGCTCCAGCTCAAGGTCGCGATTGGTTGCCTCCTATTGTATACAAACGGATAAGCCAAGTACTTCAAGTCTTATTGCCTGCTACGTCACCTGTTCGCATCCGCTCAGGCTGAGACCCAAGCTCGTCAATGGCACATCTTTTGGTATGTTAGCCTCTTCCTTACATCGCTCTACCATATCAGCAATTCGACGGGCGCATGTCGGTATTCCTATGCCCCAATGATTTGTGCCCAGACCACTGGTCATGCCCACCGACACACCGCTCTCATCACAGATGACCAGACGTGAGTGCGTCGCTCCTCTGCAATGATGAAAGATATATATATCTGATATCTGTGGAACTGGCTGGATCGTATTGTTCGACTATTAAGAGAATTTTATGCATGTTGCTATCAATCGTAATTCAATCAAGGCAATTGAGTTAATTAAAATTAATAACGAACGCTCTATATTTGGTGAAGTTTATTTAATTAATCAATTTTCAATTGAAATACTTGACCTGAATTTACCTACATTTTTAGAACTATTGTATTTATTTATATTTAACATAAAATAAACAATTGACAAGCCCACAGTTCATTTAGATATACATATGTATATATACCGACATAACCATATAAAAATGCATGCAGTCGTGTGTGTGGGTGTGCTTTTATCTGTTTTATATTCATTGTCGCAATTGCCGTTATTGTGCAAGCTAGTTGCCATCCTGATGAATTGCAATTTAAGCGCAACTCAATTCAGATAAATGAACGATGCAATGCGGAACAACGTTTTGTATTATTGTATTATCTGCAGTAGGTGTGTGCGTTATGATATATTTAGTATAATATATTCAAAAATACATTTAAGTTTTTTATTGGACTGTGAAACTTGTGACGTCAGAACCTTGTTAACTTACTGGCAGCACTATACAAAGCGGTGCTGCCACATCGTCGCACACAATATGTTCAGATTGCACAATGAAAACTTTAATTGTTAATTGAACAGATGTCGAGACATTAAAAAGTGCGTGCTAATTAAAACAGTTTAACAGAAAAAGCAAAAACGCAATTTTAATTAAAATGAAGCTTTTGACAAATGTACGAAAGTTGCTGTTGCTCAATTGCCGGCAGAGCATGAAGCAACGGCTAATGACAACAACAATAAAGAAGGCGACACATGATCAGCCGGTAATAACCAGTGCACAGCTGGACGAACTGGAGCAGAATGCGCTGATGCGGCATCACAAGAACAATGTTCCCCGAATTCGCCAGCTAGTGGAAGCCTTGCAGCTTAGCAGGCACTCTACAGAGGAGGACACACTGCAACAGCTGGCTGCTGAACTGCAACAACTGCCAAACGCAACTCATCCTCGCCTGGTGGCATATGACAATCAGCCACTGGAGCTGGCTAAGTATGAGCACCGGCTTCATCCCGAAGTGGGCGCCAAACAATTCTCAGAGCTGGCTCGTGCCCTTAATCTGTATCGCATGGAACATCTGGGCAACTATACGGGCCACAAGAGCTACTACCTGATGGGTCAGCTGGCCATGCTTGAGCAGGCCATCATACAGTATGCCCTGCAATCGCTCACACGAAATGGCTTTAAGCTTATCTCCGTGCCGGACATATTGCCGCGAGATATCATTGAGAGCTGTGGTATGCGCACCGAAGGCGAACGCACACAGGTCTACAAATTGGACACGGGCGAATGTCTCTCGGGCACATCCGAAATGGCACTCGCTGGCTTCTTCGCAAATAGGCAACTGACGGAACAGGAGCTGCCCTTAAAAGTAACCGCTGTTAGTCGTTGCTATCGAGCCGAGACTTCAGGGCTGCACGAGGAGAAAGGCATATATCGGGTGCACCAGTTCACCAAGGTGGAAATGTTTGCCATTGCGTCACCCGAACAATCAGAGTCCACGCTCGAGGAAATCAAGAATCTTGAAATTGATTTGTTTAAAAAATTTGGCATTAACTTTCGACTACTCGACATGCCGCCCTGCGAGCTGGGTGCGCCGGCATATCAGAAATATGACATAGAGGCTTGGCTGCCAGGTCGCCAGATGTGGGGTGAAATATCGAGCTGCAGCAACTGCACAGACTACCAGGCCAAGCGCCTGAATATCACGTATAAGCGGGCCAGGGATAGAGCTGTCGTACATGCTCACACTCTAAATGGCACCGCAACGGCTATTCCACGCCTGCTGATTAGTCTGATTGAGTCATATCAGAACGGAGATTGCATACAGATACCAGAGGTTCTAGTGCCCTTTATGAATGTTCAGCACTCGATAACAAAAAACAAAAAGATACCTGAGACAAAGCTTGTAAAGTTTATCAGATCAGCTTAACTTTTGATTTTAATCGATAAGATACGAATAAAGGATGTCGCGAGTGCGCCTATTTCAATTTCATCCGTCAAAATGAGACACACACACATACATACATATATTACATAGTGAGTAATTTGTTTCCATACATATTTACGTATACGTATATTTACGTACCTTTTTTATGATTTTTATCGTATGCACATTTTTGTGCATCCTATAAAAATAATAAAAAAATATAGGTATATAAAAATGCAATATTGGGGTTTGTTTGAGTTGATCCGCTTTGAGAAGTAACTGTCGTGCGCAACAATGACTAAAATCATAATCTAACACATTGTTAAACAATTGCGCACTTCACAGATAGATAGATGCACATAATAATATATACTATATGTAGACTGGAGTTCATGTATCAATAGCAACTATCAACGACCTTACTTACCCTTCAATGCCGCCAAAATATCGCATTTTAGTTGTCTGAACTTTAGTTTGAAGCCGCGTAACGGGGAACTCGTATATATCCTGCAATTAAATAAAAAATATAATAAACGCATTCCAATCAGTTTATCATATCCACAATCTTATCAAGATTTGCTAATCTAAGCAGAAATATATAAACGAAAAAATATAAAACGAATGAGTGAGTGCATGTGCTTAAAGAATGGACAACATTTTTGCCAATGCTGATTGAAAGCTCAAACAACAGTTATTGCAGCTACAGCACAAAGCAGTTCAGCGGGTGAGAGTGAGCAAAAAAAAAAACAACAAACCAGTTTTCAAAATTAATTCCAGTCACTTTTTTGCATTTTGTAAACGTAGTCTGTTTTCATGCCTGATTTAAAAAGAAATTAAACAATTAGTTGCACTCAACTCACCACGCCTCAATCAAAGCCCGTTATATTTACTATTTACACACGCGCTATGTATATACTTTTACACTGAATTGTACAATTTAAGTTTAAAACAGCTGCTTGTAGAAATACACGCAAAGAATCTATCGTTTTAATTCTTACCCGCCAATAGAGGTGTTGATACGGTCTCACGTCCAAACGTTTTGAAACCCACGCACCAAATATTGTTTTCAGACAGCTGGATTGTTATTTAAAGATTAGCATCCGCCACAGTAAACAGATGTTGTAACAGCAGCAGGGCTGCAAAACGCCATGTTAAAAGTAGCAGACCAGAGTTTAACCCTTAAGTGTGCAGACCAACTGTATATTACTATTATAAATTAAATATCTTATAGAAAAGAGAGAAAAAAAAAACCAAATATAAATATTTTAAAAAACATTTTTAAAATTTTGTTTATCCATGGCGAACAGTGATGAAAGAAACAGAACACAATTTGTATAAGTATAGCATTAAATCGAACCTCTATTTTTTGCTCTTGTCCTTATCGTTATCTTTTATTGTGTATTTGTCATAGGACTTGGTGGGGTCGTATGGCTCCCACCGGCTGGCCGGGAAGATGTGCTTGTTGCGCTCATACCAAGAACGCAGCAGCACTTTGCCTGCATGGGACTCCTCCTTCTCGACGGAGGCGTCGCTAATCATACGCACATCGTCGTGCACATCGAACTGGAAGAGCGGGCCGGATTTTCCGCGTGCTTTGGTCACAATGAAGTCGTAGAATGAGTAGTGATGCGGCAATATCAAATCCTCCTTTACATACATCAGCTGATCGGCCATCACGGTCTTCAGCTCGATAAACTCTTTGCGCAACAGCTCCAGGCATTTCTGGAGGAACTGATATATGGAATTGCCCTTCTTCATCAAAACATTTCGCCTGTGGCCAGAGCCATCCCAGTAGCTGAACGTAATGGAGATATCTTCGTCTTTGAGTTCTGCTTGCTGCATTACCCATTCCTGTCGTAACTGTTCACGCAAACGATTCTCCTGTTCCTCACGTTCGCGGTCTGGCAGAAAGGATGTGTCCACATCAGGATTCTTACAGATTTTCTTTTTCTTGACAGGCACTTGCATGTCTGGTTGCTCGGTCCACTTGGTTGGCTTTGCCGTGACGAACTTCTCTTCAGTGCTCCCCTCGTCTTCGTCTTTTTCCTCTTCCTCCTCATCTAAATTGAAGGATAACGCCTGTATTTGACGCTTCTGTTTGTTTTTCTCTGCTTGTATGGCTTCCAAGGCCCGCTGTTTTTCTCTATCCTTTTCATCCTTCTTTTGCGCCAATTTCTTTTCTCTCTCTCGCACTATGTCCTCCTGCTTCGCTTTCATCTCATCTAGAGTGACCAAACCAATGGTTGACGACTTGAGCTGTTGTTCAACAGCATCGTAGTGCGTCGCAAATTTGTTCTCAATCTTATCCAGCTTCAGCTCCTCCTCGATTTTCTTTTTTCGGAACTCGATCTCTTGCTGCTGGATCTCGCGCTTTTTCATCAGTTGGGCAGCGCGCCCAGCCTCGCTAGCGGCACCCTTGTAGTGAGCCATCACTCAGGTTTCAGACTCTTTTAGTTTAATAAAATACAATACAATTTCGTATCAATATTTTTTATGCCTTAGCAATAACTGGTCTGCTTCTTCTCTGCTAAATGGCTGTGCCAGCTGTTTTTCAACACTGGTTCATTATTTATTGGAACTGGTTAGTTCGTGAATAAAATCGAGTGTCATAGCTGCTAGCTGTTGCACCGTAGAAATGTTGCCGCTCTTCATCAAAATTTAAAGGTTCGCAAGCTTTTACGTCCTTTCGAAGTCCTTTGGCGAGCTTTTACGAGCTGGCTAACATAAATACATTTGGCAAATGCCGTTAACTGTTTCAGTTACAGCGGAACTTTCAAACCTTTTGGACGCGCTCGGCAAAAACAAATCAGCTGCTTGCCGATGGATATTTTTAAAATCGAATTATTTGATTTAAGTCGCATGAAGTGAATTATGAAGTTAAATAGACCACCAATTTCGGAATTTTATCATATACAATGCGATGTAAATAGCAGAGGAGTGTCTGAATTGTGGACATGTGAGGTAGAGTCTTGCCTGTGTGCGTGTGTGAATGTGCGCATATGTGTGTGCGTGTTGTAAGTGAAGAAGTGCTCTGCGTTGGGCAAGGACATTACGGACAAAGAGTAACACCAGCAAGTGACGTGTGGTGGGCGGGGCGTGGCGGGTGGCGAACGGAAACGGAAGTTCCCAAATTGAAATGGCATTTGAGATGGGCGAACCATTAAAAAGATTTTACTTACAGCTTGTTTTGGCCATCGAATTTCCGCCTTTGCGTCGTTGCTGCTGAGTAGCCCGACTACTGTTTTAGGGACGTTGACAATATTCATGAGCCTGAGTCATAAATTCCCATTCGATGTCTGGCTAATGGATGGCCCATTCATGGACGTGTTGGGGTGGGGTGGGGTTCTATGGCTCTATGGCCACGTCAAGTGCCACTAAAATCATTAACTGTTGAAACACATTAAATTCATGGCCCGGACTCAATTCGTTATTCAGGCAGCAAATATTGTCATAAAAACTATTCGGCATCGTGTGAAATAATTAATTGCGACAATAACTCGAGCATTAATTAATTTATCGCTCATTATATTGGAACACCAAATACACGCTCACTGTTCAAGATATTTGTTAGGGCGGAGGGTTGGCCAGCTTTTAGCCAGGATAAAGCCGACGAATATCAAATACTCTAAACTATGTGTTCAGATAGTTAAATATGGAAAATAAGAAGTTGTTGAATTTAAATCTTTGTTCAGTTATCCAGAAATACGAATGTTGTACTGTTGAGATGACATATCAATAGATAAATTTGATATACCTCTGCTAGAACCTAACTAAAATAAACTTGAAAGCTTGTTCTGAGTCCTGGGTGAAGTTAATTTCTCAGCGTTATGCCTCTGTGTGTGTTGTTCGTACATAGAGGAACTTCACCTTAGCAATCCAGCAAAAAGTTATATATTGGCTTTCTAGACGAAGGATTTGCCAAAGGATTAAAACATAGCTCAACTTTTATTATCAGCTCTTACCAGCTTCAGCTTTTAGCTCACAATGTATGGGTGAATACTTTTGTATGACAGATTTGTCAGCCACTAGTTCACAAAGTGCTCAACAGCAGTTTGGGAAATTAAGAGTCCACACTTTTGTCCCCTCAATCAATAAATCAAGCGTAAATTTGAGACCATCCTCCCCTCCTGAACCTTGAGTTAAGTACTGTAATTAAGGGCGTCCCATTTGGTTTTTACCTACAAAGGAAATTTTGTAGCTCATTTGTTAAATGAAGCCTAAAAAGCCAAGTAATGAATGAAAATATATAATGAAAAACATATATAATGGAAAAACATTGATTTTTAATTAATACCTAATTTACATGGCTGCGTACAAATAATTAAATATTCTCTCTCCATTTGTAATTTATAAATCAAGTTTGGCCTCTCGAAATTGGTCATCTGTAAAGCTATCGAATTTGTTGATTGTTATCAAACATTGTAGTATGTCATCTATATCTTTATAGATTATATTACTTAAAAATTGATTTTTATGTGTTCAAGATATCCTCAAGGAACTTTTCTATTGCGGACTTTGAATATAATATAAGATATGATGTGTCAAATCTGTTGATTGGCATATTCCTGTGCGCTGGGTCTGCTGTCCAATTGAGATTCCTACGTAAAATATATCTGCACAGTTTTCCATTTGTGCCCATTTTTGTTTACGATTTTGTTCTGATTTCTTGGGCGCTCTTTTTGGGCCAAAAAACTTTTTGCGTTTTGCTATGTCTTTGTCTCAGACTTTTTAAATTTACACATAAGCAAAGTAAATAAAAAGAGTAAACGTAAAGTAGCTGCCAGTAGCTATTTGGTGTGGCTGCGCTTTACCAGTCTTGCGTTCTCTTTCGCCCATTTTATCTGCGTTTTATGGGCTCCAATTGAAACTTTGTTTGTCAATAGAAGAGAAAACAAAAACCCTTTTTTGCACTTTTTTTTTTTTTTGGGCTGGCGCATTTCAATTTTCGCACAAATTGTGCACATTTTAAACAATTTGCCGTCTGCACCCACACACACTCGGAAATATTCACACACACAGTCACTCACACCAAGACCCGGCTGCATTGTGCAGAAGGATTTATGCAGAGTTTTCATAAAGCTGACAACATTTCGGATGATTAATTTGTTGTTGTTCCTAAATTGGCGAACAGCGTTAGCCGAGCAGCTCCTTTTTCATACAACTTCGGCATAGCCCCGAGGCAACGAGACGCAAAACACATTCATGACAACCTAGCAACAGAGTAAATGAACAGCTTCCAATATTCATTTTATATTTTAAACAGCTTACAGTGAACACCGAGCATTTAAAGTGCAACGAAAAAACGTTAGGTGACAGCTTCTGGCTTTCAAACCATGTCAACCATGCTCCATGGCCAACATGGCGAATGTATGCTGCCAGCACAGTAAAAGCTCCTCTAACGAATAGTTCTCTATGATAAGCATTGTTCTAGATCCAATCTGCTTCTGTTCTTGCTAACAAAAATAACACGAATACTTTTCTAGCAAACTCATCTCATCAATTCAGAGAATTTTAGAGGAGTTATCTGAAAATCTGAAAAACAATTAAAATTTCAGCTTTTGAAATTACATTTTTTCTGTACAAAAGTAGCAAAATTGATTAAAATGTTCAACATTCCTTAGCCTTATTTTATTTCTGTCTAGGAATAATATATTTCAATATGCAACACAGTTTACTATTCGGTTTAGAAAGAATAAAGTAAAGCGAAATGTTAGCAAATGTATAACAGAGATTTTCCGCCCGACAGAGTGTTTACCGTAGCATGCACTAAAGCTGATTAATAGTCAAGCGATTTGCTGTGGATGCTTAGAGTCCTATACGCAATATTACGTATAAGACATGCACTCAATAAACAATGCGAACAACAACAGTAACAACAATGGTAACAATGACACCAGCACGGAGAATTAATTTAGCAATCCTTACCAAGGAGTGAGTATGTGTGGGAATGCTTGAATATACTCGTAATTTTTTGTGATATGTCATAGACCGACAGGCAATGCCCCGTGCTTGGCACATTGCATAAGCATTGCAGTAATTGATGTGTCAAATTCAATAATTTTCTAAACGTGCAGGAACTGCTCAAACAACTGAAGCTTATTCATTATTGATCATGGACTCTAAATAACTTACTCAATATTTAAACAAACATGAACTAAATCACCTACATTTTCAAACTTTTATGACTGATAAAAATGTAAAAAATATCTTTTTTACCTTGATATTTATTGCCAATATTATTGCATTATTGTAAAACAAAGCCTATTTAAAGCATTGCTTTTTTATGAGTCAGTTGTATTTACTCAACTCGCTTTGTGTCTCCCTTCGACCAATAAATATCCAATTAATGTGACAATTTATTGTCCACTTTTTACAATATTTGATTTATTTTGATTACATTACGATATTAAAAAATACGATTAATTAAAAGTGTTTCAGTCATACGAATATAGTGGCGAAAAAAATATGAGTTTGGAAATGGCATTTACTGTGCATGTTTCCATTATAGTAACAAATCCTGGTATACTGCCGAAAATTTATAAATTTACTAGAGCATTGCAAAGAGATTTTATTTCACGCATTTCTCCTAGGACAGAAGCAAAGAAATCACGTTTAATTTTAACTTTAAGGTAAATAAAGTAAGGAAAGATTTCAGTAGCAAAAACTTTAGTCCGATTCGTACTATTATAATTTAGTGCACATATGAAGTAAATTAAATTACTGTTAACATTCACTTCATTCTTTTAATGCATTTTCCAGTACTCATCAATTCTATATTTTCATTATATTGAGTTAAAGGTTCAGAACTTGAGAGGGGTAGGAAATAATTTTATGGCAAGATTCGCTTCTGCATTTTAATTAAAATATATTGAGATAGAATAAAAATATTTTTTTATGACTTTGTTTCAATAGTCGCATCACAGCTTTATGCAGTCATCGGCTGAACTCCGTGATAAGAGGTTGCAAGTATTCTATTTATATGAGCTGTAATTGACCTTAACACAAGCTCTCCTTAGTTGCAAGCAGATTATTTACTTAGCTCATGGGTAATATGGTCAGGAGCCCCTCGATTCAATTAGTACATTGTGCTCTGGCGTTATTGTAGTGATGTCTCGTCGGTCCTCAATGCGAGTTGTTCATTCACACTTGATTAATGCATTTTCCAGTGTGTCCCTGATGCTCAGCCAAATCCCTCAAAAGAAAAAAGTTCGTCTTAATTTTTTCACCTGCTACAAAGGGAATTGAGTTATCATGGCGCCCGGCTCGTAAATCATGAATGTAAAAGTCGTCACCCATACCCAGCATTTATAGCCCAAAAATCGAACAAAGTATCTGAAAACATTTTAAGGCAAAATTTTTCTTATTCTAATAGAAAAGTTTTCCACATACCCCGGTAGCTGCGCTTGGCTCCGTCTTCTTTTTCTTTGTTTTTATTTTTTCAACTTTAATTTGGCCGCTTGTTATAAAATGGCTTATGCCCAAGAGCTTAACTATAGCTATATATAAACAAAGATGCAGATCTGTATACTGCGGACAGCGTTTATGACAAGCGATGCCTAAACTCAGTAGAATATAGTATACCGTTTTTCTGTTTCAATATATAGCACGGACTTTCCAAAAATAACTGTTCTTTTAATTGAATGAGTGTGTATATGTGGCCGGTTTAAAAATAGTTTAATAGGCGCAAACGCTGTGTGTGATTGTGTCTGTGTAATTCAGATTAGGCGTAAATGCATCCATCAGAGTCGCGTACTTTAGTGCCCAATGCCATATCGATCTATTTGCAGTCTACGTCTCAATTACAATTAGAGCCAATTTCCTGCGCTGACTGTAGTTCGCTGCATTTGCACTTTAGGGGCTAACTTCAGAAACAAAAAAATAGTCTTTGTAATGAAGTTCAACGTAATTGCTTCTAGCTTTCACTCTGGGCCTCTCAAATAGATATTTTTAGTCCAACCAGC